ATAGTTTGCAATCAATAAAGTATGTAAATGTGGGTGAGTGAGAGTTTTTTGTTGTTATTCTTTTCAAATTACTCCTTGGGCTGAAGTGATTCTAGAAGGCTAATAATAATAATAAAGCTTGATTACATTAAGCAAATAAATTGTCACAAATAAAAAAATCAAGTGTATCTATCACAGTATATTTGCTTGTAGTATATTACAATTTAAACGGACAGGTCAGAGCCAAATGTAATAAGGGTGTTAGGATAATAGATTCTAAACAGTCTATAGCATCTCCCATTTTTAGATCCTTATCAGAGGCCATTTGCACGGAAGTCCATAGGAGCAGCTGAAAGCAATGCTGAGTTAGCCGTCTTAGCTGTTGAAAAGGCCCATCCAAATCACTGCAAGATTTCCTTGTCTATGGAGACTCTACATAGATCAAGGACATTTTTTATATTTTCATAATGTCATGGATAACTTCTTTATATTTTTGTCATTAACTGGTTCATTTATCTAGCACCTACTTTGTAAAAGAGATTTTTTTTTTAGATACCAAAGAGCTCCCAGGGAAGTATAAGACACAGTGCCTGACTTCCAAGGGCTGCAAAGGGAAGTCAGAGTATTTATTGGAATCAATTAGTGGTGGTGTACCTAAGTTCGGAAGAGGGTACAACTCCACTCCAGTAAAAAACCAGAATGATATTTTCGTATAAGTAAATGTCTACAGAAGAAACATTTAAAAGCTGACTTTGGCTCCAGTTACTTAAGATTGCTCATTCTTGAAATTATTCCAGAATATTGGACAATCCTGGACCTGCTTTAAAAGAAGATGTAAGAGTTGAGCTCCCATAGAGGATAAGAAAGGCTACTGGAACTCAAAACATCTGACATCCCCAAATCACGCACATACCTTGACCACTGCTGAAAACCAGGAAGTTAAGCAAAGGGAGAAAAGCCCCAAACAAAATGAAACATCCTCCTAGCAGTCAAAAACCAATGCCATAAGACTGAAAATTTTGAGCTTTTCTCACACGTGAGCCTCCCAGGCTACCTCTGCTTAGAGCATCTCTTTACTTGCAGTCCACATACACTCCTAACAAGTTTGGGCAAATGATTTTCCAGCACACTTAAATCAGAAGCAGCAAATTAGAAGGGGAGAAGTTGCTAGCACAAGCAACATGGAAACAGCAAAATGTCATGTGCTGCAAGTCAAGAAAAAGAATAACCACTACAAAACACGGCCAAAAGAGCTTTTTAAAGTATAAAGCACCACACAAAAATTATATATATATATATATATATATATATATATATATATATATATAATTGTTTTTGAGTGCCTACTATTTGTCTGAGGTCAGGCATTGCAGGAGGTGAAGATATTTAAGACCTGCTTCCTCTCGGAGCCCGTGACTGCTTTGGCTCTTGACTACCTCTCTTTATTAAAAGTATATGACTGGGACCAAATGAGGAGGTGTAATGGAGGTGGGTCAGATTCTTGCTGCCTGGGATTAACCATGCTTTCCTCATCTCCATCCACTGGCGGACAGGAACCATCTGGTTCCTGATTTGTGCCAAAAGGAGTAGAAGACTTCCCAGCCTGAGGTCATTCCACATGAAGTACATGTTTTGCAGCCTGCTTGATCCTACAGGCCTCAGGAGGGACTTAGAGCAGCTGTTTCTGGACCAAAAGGTGCCCCAAATGTGATATTTTTATAATCATTTCTTGGACCCTCCTCCTTCTCACTAAGCAAGAATGGGAACCTATAATTTATGAGGAAGTTTATCCACTCATCATTTTGGAGAAAAGCTTTTAGAAACAGTACTAAATTCATGTGTATTTGTCCCCCATAGGAACACAATGGTCTCAGGTTCATAGGTATTCACCATATATATTTGGAACAAATGCATAAGTGAATGGAGACAAACCCTAGGGCCATATTGGTGCAGCTGTTCCACAGATATTGCCATAGAACAAAATATTTTGTACTTATGATCCATTTTAAAATAGTGATTTTTTAAAAAGAGAAGAAAATATTTGATGTCAAAGAGCAAGAAAAACAAGAACACAGCTTTGGAAATGTTATAGCCTCTACATAACAAAATAAATAGACTAGCAAATTCTGTTTTCTTTTATAAAGTCAACTTATTCATAAATGAAATAATTGCTTATAGGAAAAATTTTTCAGTTGAAATTTTGGGGTTTTTTCCCCAAAACATTGAGTAACTTTCAAACTGCATATGTGGGACCTAAATTTGTGGAAGAGATTTCAAGCAGAGAGATCCATATTTTAATACTTTATGACTCAGGATATGTAGTGGGGGGAAATAAATAGAAAGAACCACGACGTTTCCATTGTATTGGTTATCGAAGCCTGAACAACTGTCCACGGTGAGTTAGCAATAACTCCCGACCTAATGGACCAGAGAAATTAATGTGACAATAAGGGAGCATTCTGTTGATCGTTGTGACCAAATAGATGACTCTCATTCTTAAAAGGTGAGACAAAGTAATGCAATAAATTTTCTAAAACTACAAGACCGCTAGCAGCTCACCAATGACAATTATTAAAGATTAACCACAATTTTGTAGGAAAAAATATATCCTGAATCCTTTTAGGCACGCCAATATATATAAATAATTAAATCAAATGGGGAAAAAGATTGAAAAAGAATATAATGTGCTCTACATTTTCCTTCCTCTCCCTCCTACTCTCGCTTACTACCTCGCTGCTCATGCCCCCATCTGCTCCTCCACCAAGGAAGTTGATGCCAATTCTCCATAAAATCTATTTTGTGACTTCCTTCAAAGGGACTCCTTCTTGCCTCTGATATACAATTCATCAATAAATATATTCATAAATAAATGCAAACCCTGGACACAATTTGCTTTTAGAACCATATTCTATGTTTACTTTCACTCCTACATTTTGCCTGTTAAAACTTTTCACTTTATTCTTTGCAATCTCTCTCTCTGATGGAAAAGTCTACCTTTCCTCATGATGGTTATTCATTTCTTACTGATTTATCCCCAAAGATCATCTTAGAATCTTATTCAGTAGGATTTTTTAAACAATTACTGTATGCCAAGTAATGGGGTTAGAGAAGGTGATAAATAACTTTTCATTTCTCCCAGTGATGTCTCTTATTTAGTTTTCACACTAATCCTCCTACGTAGATTCAATTATTATCCCCACTTTACTGATGAGGAAACTGAGCCTTAGACAGGCTAAATATCTTGTCAGTGGGTCCTCAACTCTTGATGAAGCTGGGGTCAGGACCCATGTAAGTCTAAGCTCTAGCTCTTAATAATATTACATTGCCTTTCATTGATATTTCCTCCTTGTATTTAATTCAACCAATGTGGACCATCTATATAAAAATATATGTACATGCACAAACTTTAAAAATATTGCTCAAGTAGTCAAAGAGATCCTGCTATACCACCAATAGTATCTGAGTACGTGTTCAGGATTTCCTTTATCGATCTAATATTGGTAGGCAATTCATCAGCTACCTCAACACTAGTTACAGATTTGCTTTTTAATTGATCAAGTTCTAGAATAAAAGAAAAAATCCATATGCTTTACTACGGTAGAAGAGTAAAAGACACATGAACTTAAATAGCTAGATCAGAGGTCTTCTTAGAGAAGGGCTTTGGTTGCTGTTATTTAGGCAAAAGAGAGGCTGCTGAGGACATGGGGACAATGCAACTAAAGGGACAGTTAAGAAGCTCTGAAAAGAAAGAGAGAGGAATTTGGATTTGTTTATAGGAGAAAGCAGGATTGGGCCAGAAGGATGTGGGCAAGGAAGGGCCATCATACTGACAGAGGATGAGTTGCTATGTGGTATGGGGGAACCAGGGCAATATCCCCAGTGATGCATTTTTGTTTGCAAAGATCAACATGCATTTTTAAGTCTGCGGTCTGCTGTGTGATATGTTCCTTTCCCTGTCCTTCAGATCTTCAGTAAACACTTTGCTACTGTGATAACCTTGAGTTTACAGTTGCTTGGATGGCAGATGGGTTGCAGGATGGAGCCAAAGAGAAGGAACTTTGTCCCCTCTTTTGGTGGACACCAGAATGGTGATAAAGGAATAGCAACAGGGAACAGAGAAAATACCTTCAATGGAAGTAGAAAATAGAGAGTAGTAACCCCGAAATTATAATCCTTCAGAGAAATATTGGGGAGAGCTTTGGGGTTTTACCAGAATGGGGGCTTGAATCAATTTATCCTGATCTGAAAGGGCTGGGGAACCCTAGGAGATGTCTTGATTACACTAGAGAAACTCAACCATCTAACTTTTTTTTGTAAAGAATGATGTTATGTTTGCTAGAACCAGGGAACAGACAATGACATAGCTGCTTCTTAAAAGTAAATTTGAATATATCAGCATGGGCAGTCAACTTACTTGCTGACTTAAAAACAGCCTGATGAAATTTTTTGCCTGTTAAACCTATTATTGTCCATAATGAAAGAGTCTATATGCACTAATCACAACATACAGCCTTATGTTTGATCACAGCTTCTAAAAATTCATGATACAGGGATTTTGAGTTATACTCAACACATTTTTCCTCCAGACACCTGATTGGTTTTTCTTGATGCCGTGAATGATATAAATTGAGCCCTTAGTTGGAAGAAATCTAAAGGATCAAGCATCCCTGAGTTTCAGACAGAAACTTACTCCGAATACGTATATTCAAAGGTATGTGGTATCCTTTTTATTGTGCTTATTTCTTTCTCTGCATCTCGTGTTCAAAGGATGCAAATGTATTCTGCATTTCTAATACTTTATGCTGTCAATAGTGAGTTACTTCTTCAGTTTGATCATAATTAAATTAGACTCTGACTGCTTAAATAAATTCTTTTATGTTCTAATGCAGCATAGCGTTTTTCTATATTTCTTTAAATTTTAGTTCCAGAATCCTAAGGCACTTTTCAGGGCCAAATTTCACGGCAAAATATTTATTTTAATTACTTATCAATTAAGATAAAATAATTCTTTCTTGCTGTGATCCACTACTTTAAAAATATTTATTTTAATTACGCCAAATAGAACCATCAACTAAATGTTTTCTCTCATTAATTCAACCTTTAAAAAAATAGATTTAGTAGGTAGAAAACGTCAGTATACTTTCCATAGCCAGCATTATCACACATGATATTCACTTCCTATGCAAAATTTAAGATCTTTCTTCTGACGGTTTTCAAAGTTAGTCAATAATTTGCCCCACAAAGTAATGCATGTATCTGAGGATGACCTGTTTTGCTTCATGTCCCAAGGGTCTTATTTGTGGAATAATTACAGGGCAGTGTCAAATAAAAGAAAGATGCCATCGAGTAAATATAGAATCTTTTAAGTAGAAGTCATTCAAAATTCACGGAATAATAATGAAATATTAGCACTGTCCTCTCCCTTCTGTTCAACCACATCTTTTGCTCCACATCTGGAGCTCAGAGATGTTACTTGAGGATCTTGCCTGAAGTCCTACCAGTCAGAACACCTGGAATTAAACTCCGTTCCTTCCTTACTCTATTTTGGCAAAGTACTTAATGTCTTTTCTTGAATGGTTAGTCTTTGCTTGTAACAGCAGCAATGCCCAGGTGGACTGTACAAAAGAACATTTCTATACTCCCTGGTTCTAAAAGCATAAAATACTGTGCACCTGGATGATCTCCTCAACTTTTAGAGCCAACTCTACTCTTTTAATCATGACTTATAAGCTACATTTAGCATCTATATCTCTACAGGCTGTACAGGTATAGGAAAATGGCATTCAAAGATCATGTGATGTTAGATTATTCACCGCCCTACAACTTGTTTAGCTCTCAACCTAAATGAAAAGCATCTTTATCACTATTGTGACTCCAGAAACAACAAAATGGGCTGAGAATTGGAAATCACATATGAATGAAGTAACCTCACAAAAAATTGTCTCATCTTTTCTACTAGTAACAAACTAATGTGGATTATGTGGGTTTTATGGTGCATTAATTATGGAGATATTTGAGAAGAGATAAGAAAAGTGAATGTTGACTTATATTTCAGGGCCATCAAGAAATGGGGACCTGGATTTTGTTTGCCAGCCTCCTGGGAGCAGCCTTTGCTATGCCCGTGAGTATAGATCAAAGTCCAATTTCACAAGCTTGGAAATACAAATCTGCTCCACGGTTGGTAAACTTTAGCGTTAAGGACAGTACAAGATCAGATGTCTTCAAATGTCTCTGAGTTTAAGAAACACTTTGAAGAGCTTGTTATAAAAAAACAGATTCTCAGATGCCTTCACCAAAGATTCTGATTCAGTACATCTGGGATGGGGCCCAGGACTCTGCATTTTAACAAGCACCCCAGGATATTCTGTTGAAACAATTAGCTTGTAAATATCATCGCCCATCTCTAGGTGGAGCAAACTTTTGGAAGGAAGCCTTGAAAGGCCTCCAGAGAAAGTGCTTAATCAGCCTTAGGCAAATACTACAAAAATGACAGTTTCCTCTAAAACCCAATTTCTCACAAGTGTCCAAATCTCTTCCTTCCCTCCAAGCTCCACTGCTGTTATCCTTCAGAGGGTAAGATTTTTGTGTTATGAATTCCCTTCTGGAACTATCTCCTGTTCTCAGAGGCCTCATCCTTTTGGGTGGATCTGCTAAGCACATGACTTCCATGTGGTTGTCCAGAATTCTACCTATGCCCAATACATATAGTTATATTTTACATTCAAATATACCAAGGACCAGGAAGCCTGACCCATTCTCTCCAGACATAGGTACATAAGGTCAGAGAGCTTAGATCACATGCAGGCAAAGCAGGATCCATATGCTTTACAGTGGCATGAAGAGCAGTTGATACAACCAGAAGCCAGCAAAGCTTGCATATCTGCCTCCTCTCTTCCTCTCTCACACACAAGACCAAGATTCTATCCTCTGCCTTCCTAAAATCCTGCATTGTGGCAATCCTTAGTCCCCTAGGTCCTTGCATTACAAATTCAGCCCTTTTTCCACTCCTTAATTCAACACCCCTACTCTCTGAGGGCTTATATCAAGACGGTATAGGAAAAGCAGTTACCTGACTGAAACAATTCACACTCAGATGAGGGCAAATAAACTCTTTTATGAAAAACGAGCATTCTAAAAGAATAGAGCCTTAATCAGCTCGATGTCTGAGGGAGACGTTCTGCGTGATTCTCTCTCCTCCCTCTCCCTACTCCAGGGCCAACCAGAATTCCACAATGTAGGCATCAGTCACTTGGCCTCTTCTATTGAAAGTGCAGACAGTCTTGGTTTAGATAATTATTTGGGCTGCTTTTTATATTGAACTTTTAAATTTTTCTGCCATAAAAACATTGACAGAATAACAAAAAGAATTGGCCTAAACTTCATAAATCAACTCATTTTCCGCGGGATTATGTTTCCACTTTACTGCATCCATCTTGTTCTCACATTCATCAATAATTCACACGTAGTTGTTTCTTTTGTTGTTGTTGATGTTATTTACTTTGCATGCCAAGTATGAGGAATCTCTTTGATACTTAAGCACTTATCCACCTCATGAGCTGTAAAGGAAGTTTTGTGAGACAATTCTCTTCTTGTTGGTATTTCGTAAGTGTTTAAGAGAAACATATTTCTCTTCCCAACATGGAGTGAATTTCAGCAAGAAGTAAAATGGTGAGTGGGATAGAGTTGGATTAATTAACAACATGGATGGAGGGGTGTCTGAAGATCACTGGAGGATAAATGTGTGCTGGTTTCTACTTCCAGGTCTCCCACCATAGGACTACAATTGCCAGGAAAGTCATTTAGTTGCTCTGGACCTCTTTAAAATAAGAGGGCTCCTCTCCTACACAGTGTACATGTTCAAACTAAAAGTAGACCTCAAATATATTCTGCACTATATGGATTTTTTAAAGTAGCTTCAGTCTCTCTTAATGTGAACAATTGCATATTGACTTAATCTCTTCCTCTCTCTCTCTCTCTCTCTCTCTCACTCTCACTCTCCCTCTCCCTCTTTCTTTTTCTTCTCCTTCCCCCTCCCTATAAAAGCTACCACCTCATCCTGGGCACCCTGGTTATATCAACTTCAGCTATGAGGTAATTTTTCTCTTTACTAATTTTGACCATTGTTTGAGTTAACAATGCCCCGGGCTCTGTAAAGAATAGTGTGTTGATTCTTCATTCAAGATGTTTTTCAGTCCCAATTTTTCAGTTCCCACTACCAGCTTCCCGGTTTAAGCCCTGATGGGTCACCTCAAGCCTGCATTGCCCCAGCACACTCCTACTTGGCCTCTCTGACTCAGTCTCTCCTCCTTACATGGCTATAAAATTATCCATCATGAACTACCACTCAGGGGGGCTGCGATGGTAGGGCAGAAAGTGAAGTCTGGCTGAACAGCTTTGTTCTATCCCAGCCCGTAAAATGTGGGGATCTGGTGACATGTTATTTAAGATCCTTTCCAGCTAGAACACTCTTGATTCTAAAATGTTCACACTCTATGTGTCTCCCTCATTTGTTTTTACTGAGACATTAGCGAAGAAGTGGTCTATGAGACATTCTGCAGAGTAATGGACAGCATGAGATTTCTGTAAACTGGGTTTGAGGCTCTCCTCAACTCCATACAAACCATGTGACCTTGGGCAAATCATTTTCTCTCTTTAGAATTTTGGTTTCCTCATCTGGAGAAGGGAGATATTTATAATACCCACACTTCAAAATATTTTGGGGGGAGCAAAATAGTAAAGGGATATAAAAGCACTTGCTCAAGTATTACTTAAGCAAGGTTAGTAATTGTTGTATTGATCTCAAATGCTGTACTGCTATATGAAGGAGTCCCTGCACCTGACGTTAAGCAAGTATATACTGTTTAGAAAGGAATGGAAACCATTACTCCTTTCATAGGTTCAGATGACAATCTGTGAGTCTGTTACTCATACAAACTGAGGAAAAATTTAAATAAGAATCTGAGGCAAGATTTTCTGTTAAACCTTAAAAGGCTGACATATTTCACCAGAAAACCTATGTTTCTAGGATGAGGGACAGTGTTTCTGCCTCCTTTATTTTGTCATTGTGACATCAAATCAAAAAAGGATATAATTAATGTTATGTCACATTTATTTTTCTGTTTTGTTTTGCTCTTGCAAAGAAGAGCAGGAGCTGTGGAATTCAACAGAATGAATACTTTTGTAACCTCAGTCAAGCTCATGAACCTCTTTAACTCTCCAAGAACTTGTCTGTAAAAGTGAGGGTGATGATACTTGCCTCGGGGTACGTGAGCAAACATGAAAAATGTGTGTGATCAACATAACGTAGCGCCTAACACTATGAAACACCTGACAAATGTCTACCTTATTCCTTCTTCCATAGAACTCGTATTATCAGGCTATCAGTATTGACAGTATTGACTGCATTAGCGAGTCTATATTTCATGTAACTAAATTAAAACCAATGTATTCTAATGTCTCTTTCTCTTAAGGTGCTTACCCCTCTGAAGTGGTACCAGAGCTTGATCAGGCAGCCGGTATGTAGAATTTTTTCTTTATTCCCTTAAAATATAAATCATGCATTTCAATTCCCTTTTAAGTAAAATAACATATCTATGCCACATACAGACACTAATGCGAAATGTAATTTGTAAAAGCTCATATCTGTGTACATAGTTAGAAATTCTTGCACAGGAAAAATGAATAAATATTCATATTGTCATAATAACAAAGAAAACATTGCTACTTCTCCAGTTGGAAGTCAATGGAGCCAATGGTAAACCTGACTCTTTGTTTCTCACCAGTACACTTCCTATGGTTACGAACCCATGGGTGGATGGCTGCACCACCAAATCATCCCCGTGCTGTCCCAGCAGAATCCCTCAAATCACGCCTTGCAGCCTCATCACCATATCCCCATGGTGTCGGCTCAGCACCCTGTGGTCCCCCAGCAACCAATGATGCCACTTCCTGGCCAACACTCCATGGTTCCAACCCAACACCACCAGCCAAACCTCCCTCCGCCTGTCCAGCAGCCCTTCCACCCCCAGCCTGTCCAGCCGCAGCCTCACCAGCCCATCCAGCCTCAGCCACCTCTGCACCCCATCCAGCCCCTGCCGCCACAGCCACCTCTGCCTCCGATATTCCCCTTGCAGCCCTTGCCCCCTATGCTTCCTGACCTGCCTCTGGAAGCTTGGCCAGCAACAGACAAGACCAAGCGGGAGGAAGTGGTGAGTATACCCTGAAGCCACTACACCACCTGTGAAAATGGTAAAGCAAAATTCGTCCCCAGAGTTCTAAGTTCTCAAACAATCTGGAATCTAGAGTTTCAGTAGCTACAAGTCAATGACTCTATTAGTCCAAGCATGTATTGTAATTTTACATTATGAATGAGCTTATCTACATGGCTTAGTAATTAAGACCATCGCTTTTATGGTGGGTTTAAATTCTACAATTATTTTCAATTCCTACCAGAACATATATTACTGAAATCCATTAATTTTAAGGACAACAATATAAGGGAATATCAGTTCTTATCTTTCAAGGGTTTGACTAGCAAGAATAGGCTAGAATTGCACTGAAGATATAAAGGGGTAATTTTTGAAAGTGAGGGGATGCAAATATTCAAAAGGCTACAAAAGGTAAGTGGAAAATCTCTTTAAAGACCTAAAGGAAGATTATCTATCTAAAGTGGTTTTTAATCTAACTTGGAAGAAGCTGAACTAGACAGACTGTTAGATTCCTTTTCAGTGCTGGGATTCTATATGTTAAGCTTTTAGCAAGAAGTTTTCACAATTAAACACAAAATTTTCTTCCATTACAGAAAGTTCTGCCAAATGAGTGGGAAATAGCCAATAAAATAAATGACCCTTATCCATATCCATAAACACTTCTGTGTATATAGGATTGTGTAATTCTACATATGTATGTATCCAAATGTAATTCCAAGTTATAAATGCTACTGATGATTTTCTACTGAGAAGCAGTGAGGGGTGACGTGGAAGTGACCTAGCTGGGGAGCCAGGATACCTGGGTTCCAGTTCTGGCTTTGCTCCCAAAAAGGAGATGGTATTGTACAAGTTACTTAAAATTTATGAGTGTTTTCCCTTCTTTAAAATGAAAGTGACTAAATCAAATAATTTCAAGCCTCTGTCCAAGTACAAATACCATAGTTTCCCAATAAAAAATTATAATATATGCAATATATGGCTTCACAATTATGAGCATACTTGTAGAGAATATGGGACAGAATTTTTGAAAATTGATTGTATCTCAAATACTCTGGTGCCTATTGTCGATTATTCTGGTCTAAGGTACATGTTCCCTCTTTGTATAGAAAATGCATTTATTTGCCTCTTTATTAATAATTAAGGCCACGAACTTTATAATGTGTTCACACCTTGCCAGAGCTATTTATGGAAAGGTGACTTCAGGCAGGTAGTTTGAACTCTTTAAAACTCCTGTGTAAAATTAGAGTATAAATATTGACAGCTTCTTAGAGTTGTTTTATGGAAAATAAAGTGATGAACGTAGAGCCTGGCATGCAGGATGTATTCAATAAAAGGTAGCAACTGTTATTTTATTATTAATAATAGTTTTAAGTGTCCTGAAGGCAGGAGTCTCCTTCCTCCTCATGGACACCTCATAACTAATGACAATGAGATAACAAAGAAACTTTGAAAATTATGCAGTTCAACTTAAATGGTTGTACATCGTTTTGGCAAAACTGAAGCCATATGTGTTATTGTAAATGGTACTCACTAGGAATATTTGTAAATTACTTTAATTGTTCCTTTTGCTATTTTTTTTTCAGGATTAAAAGATCAGAAACTGAGAAGAGAACTGAAGCAGATACTTCAGTTGCTTTCAGAATGACACAAGAACACAATGATTTGTGCCTATCATCACTTAGTAAATTCTGTGACTAAAAATAAGTACCATTAGCAAACAATAAAATGTTTTTAAAAATCATTTATGTCTTTGTGTTGAATTAAACTTAAAATTTCACATCACTTGAGAGAACATATTATAAATGGCCATTCTTGAATAAGATAGGGACTGCTCATTTACACCCATAAATTGAACATTCTGTAGGCAAATGGGGACATTTGGAAATGTATAAAAGGAAATATATTCCTTTTCGAAAAAATGTTAATTATACTATCTCAAGTCTTTGAAAAAACAGGAGTTTATATAGTAGTTAAAATAGTTGGTAAAGTGAAAAATTATGAATGCTTACGGTCACTAAGCTCGAACCAAATGAAGGGAAGTTTATATGAAGAATTCTTTACATTGAAAAAGAAAAGCTCTTGAGAAATGTTCATATTACAAAACAAATTAAGACTTGGAACACTGGCTTTACATTTCACACCACATTAGTAACCAAAATCTGGTATTTTCATTCCATTCTACTGAAAAAGATTTCTTTAACGAAAGTTATGTGGTATGTATAATAATGTACTGAATTTTAAATTGTTGAGATAGTTTTCCTAAGAAAACTTTTATTAAATGTAGCTTCAGAGAATCACAGTGATTTTTTATACATTTCTTTCACTTCATAATCTTTAAGATGATAAATTCTACTGTATAGTCTTCAAAATGTTAACAGATGCATAAAATGGATGAAATACAAATTTTCTTCCCCACTCCTATTTATATTTGAGTCCTTTCTTCCTCCTACACCCACACAGAATTGTAAACAGTCTTTTAAGGGTTTATATTACACACCACCCACAGTAACTTTATTCCAGTACCTTTATGATTAAAGCCCCTTAATCATTTTCTGGAATGAATAAACATAACTTTACTGGGAGGGTGTTGATATTCAAACAAATAATTTGATTCTTAAAAATTTAAATTCAATTAAAAAAGTAAGAAAGCTTTTAATCAACTGACATGGGTCAATTCTAATCAATTTATTAAATATTTATTAATCACCCTCTAGGGCGATGTCCTGGTAAAAATAGTAAGTTCTCACCCTTAAGGAATCTAGAATCTACCAAAGGTATAAAATAAGCTCAAAACTAATGATAAGAGAAGGTCTAATAGTATTAACACTATGACAGATCTATTGTCAAAATATTCTGGCAATATGGCAGACATCATTAGCTAGCTGTCCAACAGCTTTCCTCACCATTCATTCCTTGTTGGCAGAACTGGAATTAATGTCAGCGTCTGACTTTCCATGAGCTCAGGGGAGATGAGCCGCCTCCCCTGTTCCAGGGACTTAATGCCCACTCCTCCATGCTAATTACGGCATCGATTACCATAACATACCATATCCTTACCAAATATGGCATCTATTCCCCTTGCCAGTGATTGGTTTAGGATGGGTTGTAGTGGAAACTGAACAATGAATGAAACCAAAAGGGAAGTCTGCTGGGAGAGGAGGAGCTTCTGGGGGAAAAGATTACCCTCTAATTAAAAAAAATATATACATGCTAGGAAAAAGTGCTGTTCTGTCTTTTTGTTTGAGGATTTATTTGTTTGAGGATGTGATGCCTGGAGCTGTGTCTGCCATCTTGTGATCAGGAGGGACAAGTGAAAAGCTGGAAAGACCCTAGGTGGTTTGTGGCATCATTGTGCCTCTGAATTAACCAAGCCTGGAAACATCTACCTCTAGATGGATGACACACTCTATTTCTATGCTAGTGTTTTTCAATTGTGGGTCATAACTGATTAGCGGATCATGACATCAACATCAGGACCCCCATAATTTATGTCATGCCAGCAAATTCTCTCTTCTAACGATGTAAAGCTTATATGGCCAGGACTAAGGAGAATCATTTTGTTAAATCAGTAAAAAAACAAAAGTAGATTATTTACAAAACTGTGCTATGTCTTTGAAATTAAGCTAAAGAGACAAACGAAGTTGAGTAAGTCACCTCAGGGGAACTCTCATCTCACCATAAACACTCCCATGTCACTAGCAAATTTGAAACCTGTTCTGTTCTCATTCACTTTTTGTTGGTGAGGGCTTACATAAGTATAATTTTTTCTGAGGTGCAAATACACGTCTAGGAATTACCCTAAGAGAGTCATCAAAATGCGTGGGAAGATATGTGCAAAGATGTTGATTATAGCATTATATACCAGTGAGAAACTGGGCCTCACTTAAAATTTCTTATATCTATTTGAAGGAATACTGTGATAAAAAGTATGCTTTACAAGAAAACTTATTAGTGGAGAAAACGTGACAAACTAAAATTTAAGACCAAGACTGTAAATTATACATGAATATTACACATGACCATAACATGTAAATAATTTAAACACACACACATAAATGTGCATAGAAAGAAACTAGGAAAGAGTCGTAGCTGTTTGTACAAAGATCCAAGTTTTTCACAATAACCATAAATTACTTCTGTAGTCAGAAACAAATTTAAATTTTTTAAAGTTTGTTCTCCCTTTCTTCTACTTCAATCCAGACACACCCCCTTCCTTCAGTTCTCGTTGATGGGAACTTTGGATCTTAGTGGGTCCCCTTCAGGTAAATTCCAAGTAGAAATCAGTTCACAGCGAACTGATTTTTCAGAGAAGTATTTTGACCAAAGACGGGGAAAGGGAAAGGAGCAATAAGCTTTAGCAGGAACAAAAATTAGCAATACAATAAAACAAGAAAGAAGAGATGACCATTATTTCTAACAACTGTAGAAGTGCCCTTCTTTTCCTCAGGTTGAATCACACATACCAAAATGGTTTCCCCCCTACTTTTCTTTTAGAACAGACAAATCCAGAGTTGAACCAAGTTAACTTTTCTGCTTGTAAGAGAAGCTATTTTAGTTCCGAAGGAATGGCCATTTATTTTCAGTCCTCTACCAGCCACATCCACACTGGAGGTAGAAGGCTAGGGCTGCCCTTGACCTAGGGCCTCACTGGGAATAGGCAAAAGTTTAAGCTCATGGAAAGATAAAAGAAAAAAACGCAAACTTTGTCTATCCCTTAGAGTGGTTGACTGCCCGTAAACATCAGAAAATATTTACATTCTTTTCCATTTTGTGGTTCAAACCAACAGCGCAACATAGGACAAATGGGTGCTCACACATACACACACATGCATACTCTCCCACTGAGTTTACCTGTAATAAAAGGACACGTGTGGAGACATATACCATTTGAGTAACTTGAAATGTTAAATAAAACTTCTCTCCATTCTAATCATTTAGAGACTATATGGCTATTGTATCAGTTATCGTCACCAAGGCATACTACATTTCTTCCAGTATAAAATTTTATCAAGGAAAAAAGGTCAAGTTGCTCATTTTATTTATAAGCAATGTCAAGTTGACCACCTCCTCTCCCAACTTCACGCAAAATGAAAACACTGACTTTTCCCCTAAGTCTGAAGTTTGCCCCTTAGTAGTAAACAATAGCTGAAAATACCAAGATTGAATTTAAGGCCAAGACTTAACAAAGAATATAAAATAGCAAACAATTGTGTTAATTTTAAACAAACACAGAGATCAGTTATGAACAGCTTAATATGGGAATCATAAGAGAAAAAAGATTTCAACCAATTTCCTACATTTCCAGAACATAGTGGCCTCTAGTTGTGTTCTGTATTGCTTTAATAAAATAGTCATCAGCCTATGTTTGTTGTGAAATTCTTGTTAATTGGAGTTTTTACTTATTGTTTTGTGATTTGGCTTACAATTCCTTTTGCCCCCATTTGGCCTAGAGCCTTATCAGCTGGGGTCATTGGCCGAAATTTAGTTACTCAAAATACTTCCCTACTAGGAAGAATTCATCCCGGCCTCATCTGAAACACCTGACTCTTCTAGAAGATAAAACTTGAGGACTAAGATTGGGCTGGAGTGATGAGGAGTGAAGAGGTTGAGGAGAGAAGAAAGGAATGGTTATTTGGGCCCCAAAACATTTGCCTTGATAAATCACGCCTGAATAATCTATCAAAAAAATCAAGATCAGTAAAGCCCTCTTACAAATAACATTGCCCTATGGTCAACAAAAAAATAGCCCAAGGTCCAGCATTTATTTCATTTTTATTAAAAAATGTTTTTAACAATGTTAAATATCTTCCTCAGAACAGCCAAATCTTGTTTTCCTCTTCAAAGATTTCTCCATGCTTCAAATTTGTCTGTGGAATGTGGGGGTTTGGGGTCAGTTAGGTGTCCACACAGGGCAAAGATGGCTTCCCTGTGTGGTGTCGGGGTGCGCAGGTTCTGCAACCAGATTCTCTGGGTTCATAATCATGACCTTGGCCTATCTGTTGTAGAAACTTGGACAAGTTTCTTAGCCTCTCTGTGCCTCAATTTCCTCATCTATAAAATGGACTAATATCCATCTCTGAGTCCTTTCATGTCAATGGACCCTAAGTCCAATAAATGTTGGCTATAATCCTTTTTTTTAAATGCTTTTTGGTGCAGAAGATTGGGCCTGAGCTGAGATCTGTTGCCAATCTTCCTCTTTTTTTTTCTCCCCAAAGCCCCAGTATATAGTTGCATATCCTAGTTGCAGGTCATTCTAGTTCTTCTTTGTGGGATGCCACCACAGCATGGCCTGGTGAGTGGTACATAGGTCCCTGCCCAGGATCCGAACCAGCGAACCGCAGACCACCAAAACAGAGTACACGAACTTAACCACTTGGCCACAGGGCCAGCCAAGGGCTATAATCCTTATATTCAGAAAGGGAGCCTTCTCTTGGCTCTGTAGACCCCTAAAGGGAACACTAGACCATTGGAAGCAGGGATGATGTAGAATTTGGTATAACATGGAAGTTTTCTAAGCCAAAGTCTCCAAAGTCAAACATCTGTCATTTATCAATGTGCCATCTCTGACATATAGTCACTTGAACACCTTTCTTACTGATTGCTACCCTGCATGAGCCCTGCCTTCTCCTACCTGACATCCCCAGGGACTCTTCTTTGCCACTCTCAACGTCACCTTAAGGGTAATATGAGAGTAAATCCACCAGGATGTCATGGGTTGCATGAGGCTCATTGGAGGCCAGAGTATTAGACTTCCTCCTTCTGAATGCATTCCTTTCACCTTCTTTGTAAGGCCTGGTCCCCATGTATATTAACTTCCAATTCTGACCATTTGCTTGTCACTCTGGCATTGGTCACAGCTCAGCTAATTGCACTTTAGGGCTTTCTTTACCAAACTCTTTCTCTAGAGCAGTGGTTCTCAACTGGGGCAGCTGTGCCCCCTAGGGAACATTTGGCAATTTCTAGAGTCATAATGAGGGGTGGGGATGGAGGTTGGAGTGGTACTACTGGTATTTGGCGGGGAGAGACCAGGGATGCTGCTACATCATCCTACAATGCACAAGACAGACCCCACAACAAAGAATGATCTAGCCTTGAATGTCAACACTGCTGAAGTTGAGAAACCTTACTCTAGAAAACAAGGCCAACATTTAATCATGTTGTGTGTTCAGAACTTGACACACAGAAAGAATGAGAAGTCTGTGTGCATTTTTAAAACATAACTGAGAAAGAAAAATCAAGAGCTCAAATCTTAAAGTTGGTAAACTTGATATAGGACCTCATACAATGGGTTTTTTACTTCTTGTATCAACTGTCTCAGAAAAATCTCAACAGTTTGGGGAGTGACCAGGATGTGAAAGAAATTATACAAGATGAAGAAATGGCTGCCCCGGGATTAAGATAGCTCATGTCTCCAAATCAAAACCATTCTGCAGAAATTAGAGCAGTTATTTGCTTCTTCAGAAGTTACTTAAAAGTGAGTGTGTTCTCTATTTCTTGGGAGGTTTCTTAAAGGTGATTGTGTTACGTAAGTAATAAAGAGGAGAAAAATAACCAAAACCATTAGCCTTTAGTGTAACTACTGGATTAGGGCTCATTTAGTTTGTCAGGGAAGAGTTCTGGTTTGGAATTTGCTTGAATTTGGCAGAATAACGAGAAATGAGTAGTTTTGTCCGTAGAGTGGGCAGGGATTTAAGAAGCCTTAATTATCACAATTTTCAAAATCATCACTCTCCAAAAGTATTATTTGATGAATATAATAAGGTTTCTGTTACGAAATTATTACCAAATAACCTCTGACAGCCATGGAGAATATAAAGCAGTGTGCTATAAGTAGAGGAGGTCCACTTTGTTGTAGACCTTGGGCAACACACAATATTTGACAGATCCAGGACATGGAACACCTTATCTATCCAAATACCAAACTCAAGATACTCCTGCAAGTGAGAATAACCCTCTCCCCTGGCCCCCATACACCACACATCAGGAGAATGGCCATAAATGAGCATCAGTTCAATGTCTCCTTGTCTAGGAACCTTTTCTTACTGGTCTACATGAGCTGGAGTGCTCAGGCCTCAAGGTTTCCCAGGATATTTTGGGAATGCCTCTATTTCAAACAACTACTTGTTTCTACTTTGGTCTCCCCACTACCTGGCAAGCTCCTTAAGGCAGATTCAGAAAAATACCTAGAAACTGGTCAGTGTGCTTAATATCTGCTCAAAGAACCATCATTAGCATTAAAATGCCACCATACTGTCATATGAAAGTAATGAAAACAACATCGAACATTTACTGAGCTTTTATTATATTCTAGGCATTGTTCTAACCACATGATATATGTTAGCTCATTTAATTCTCATAATCTTATAGAGGAAAAGTTGTTTCTATCCCCAATTTACAGATGAGGAATTGTCTAAACCTATAACTTTAAAAAGAAATGAGTCACTTCTTAAAACACACATACCCTGTCCTGTTTTTGATGAGTGCAATTTGAAAGGTAAACTAATTTGTTGTCTGCCACTAGGATGCTAACCAAAGCAACCTGTGTCTATTTCTAACAGCAAATACGAACTCAACTCGATCAGAGTCATGAAGCTTGTCTCCTTTTGTCACTTAATTTTGCCTGTCCATTTGACTTCCCAGGGATGCACTAAGGAGATAATTGTAGAGAAAGTTAAAGAACCCCCAACCCAATAACTCCCCTGCAGTTGTGGTCAACCGCCACAGATTGGGAGGAAACCTCTGCAAATACAGGCAAGTATTACCACACCAGGGCAGCATTGCCATGGCAACCAGGAAAAACCCATCTATCCCAGCTGTGCGTGCAAACCTGAGCAGGAACAGCCCTCACTCCTTCCTTGGTTCCAAAAGATGGTTTGAAAACAAACAAACGCAAGTCCAGTCCTCATAGGAACTGCAAGGTGCTGTCTTTCTCTCATCGCTATGCTCAGAGAAAGCTACAGTGGGAACTAATGACATCTTGTTAGAAAATCCAGGCCTCGGCCCTCCATTATCCTCCTTCCCAGGTAGCCCACTGAAGACATACTCAACACATATGGAAAGGCCATTTCAAGTGACATCCTGAAGGTCACTGAGAATGAGCAGAATAGGAAAGCTGCTGATATATTCTTAGCGTGACACTGAATCAGAACTAATTTGCTGGCATATACTCTCTACCTGGCATCAGATGTTCAGATTAAAATATATGAAAAGCTTCAAATATTTTAATAGCTTCCCGCATTGCAGCTTCCACAAATGTTAGCTATCAAGGCGGCAGTCCAAACTGGCTCCTTCCACAGGGTCCTGACTAGAGAAGGAAATGTTTGCGAATTTGCACAGCTGCATGCAATAACAAATTCAGGCTCGGAAGGTTTACAAAATCCCATTTTTGCCCTGTGATGAGGAACTTGGGTTCAACCACAAATGATTTTTTCTTAATCTGAAGATAGGCACAACAGAGCTACTTCAAAATCTATTTCTTTCTCAAGACAGTAGTGGATTTTTAAACTACTTATCGAACATTGCTTAAATGTGTAATTCCTATCAGCAGGATTTACAAAGACGGTTGGAAAACAAAGGGGGATTTACTGCCTTTGTGGCTTAATTTCCCACAGGTAGAAAAAAATGTTCCTGATGAACAGTAATAGGTACCCAGGAACCTGCAACCACTGCTACCTGAGTTGATTCATTTTATAGTTGCTATTACTGGAAATAATCAGAATCACAATATGAAGTCTTTGCCCTCCTTCAGAATGGAATCATTGAACACATTGTAAATGATGGCGATTTAAGAGCAGTAAATTTTCTTCAAAAGTAACTTTGTTTTTAACAGATTAAATAATTAACATATATTTAAATTACTTTATACTTACAGTGCCATGTGCACATGATAGAGGAAGAAATCTGCAAATGAATTGAAATGGCATAGTCACATAGTTTAAGGTAAAGGATTGCCAATCTGTAGGAAAGCTTGTGACTCTATCTTATTAGTGTTAAAAAAAATTCACCATAATGTCTTAAAAAAATTTAACTAATGTTTAATATGATACTATCTGTTTCTTTAGGAAAGACTCAAAGAAACTTTTACTTGTAGCTATACGAAACCAGCAAGTATCTAAGCTCTGTGAACACTTTGGTAATATTCTAAATTAATAATAAGATGGATTTTAGGGTTCTTTCTATGAAATAATAAAAAGTTGGAATCATAAAAAATAAGGCTTATTTATTTATTTTGCTACAAGCAGCAAAACCAAGGCTTTCTGATTTTCTGAACCAATCATCTGTCTTTGCTGCATGGAGCGGCTGCAAGGAAAAGTCAGACCACATTTTGGGGTTCCACCTCAGTACTCATACTGCTTGTAGATGTCACAGAATCTTGATCCTTCATCATATTGAGGGGAAGGGCAATGTTTGCCCTTGTCCCAAATATCCGTCATTATACAGTACCCAATGATTGAGACCCAAAGAGAGGATCAAAAGCAATGATGTTTAGTCTCAGTTCTGACATGGACTAGCCAGGTGACCCTGCCATAACCTGATCCACTCTCACCCTCAGTTTTTTTTATCTGTCACAGAAAGACACTGCATTAGAAGGCCACTAAGACCTATACAACAGTAACATTATAAGTCGATATGCATGGTTAAAGCCAAATTGTGTTGATTTAAAAATATTGAGAACATAGCCAAAAGGAAAGGTGCAGAAAAAAATGGCAGATCCTTACTGAATTGGCTCTAAGCCTTCAATAAAAATATGAGTGTCTTGGCAATGATATGTAACATTCCAGTCAGCCTGACTTGAAGGCTCTGAACCTTCTCCTAAAGCAACAGACAGAGACATCTTAAGTGTCATTTGAACCATCTGAACTTTGAAGTTGAAAGAGAGCAAGTGCTGGAACAAGCCGAGTGAATCCCTTCAAAGCTACTGCTTCTCTCACTCTTTCCTGCTTGTGTCCACCTTACCCAGATGCTGCTCCAGGATTATTACCCTGTGAAGTCTCTCACATCTTACTGGCTTGGGTCCTGCCTTGCTTCAAGCAGGAGGCACAAAACACAGAGCCTGAAATGCACGCACCGTATCTTCTTACCTCTCCAGGGTCCTTACACCTCAGCAGTAGCAGCAGCTCCAGGCAGAAATGAGCCCCCATCCTCCCCAAGTAGAGCCCTTGTCCAGTGT